AAAATTTGAAATATTATTTCGATTTTTTTTCATAAAGTTTTTATCACAAATTTTTGCATAGCTAAATGTGGGTACAACTTTTTGAACTCATTACATAAAAACCGACTATTCTTTTATTGCATAGAAACCAGACCGACTATTGTTTTATTGGTGAATTTGAATAAATTTTTAAAACTTCCTTAATTTTTCTCCAGCTGCTTATTTTTAATTGAATTGGATTTCAATAGTGTTAAAAATGAGAGTGAGAAAAATAGACACAATTGAAACTAATGGATATTCCACAAGATTGGAAAATCTACTTGAAACAGTTTGGTATACAAGATTGTGGAAATGCTTTCCACTTTTCTGATGCTTTCCATAGCAGATTGTGTTGAGTGATTTATCATAAGATCATGAGAGACCCCTTTCACTCTTGATTTGATCGGTATTACAAAATTGAGAAAAACCGTTTTGAAAGTTTTGATTTTTAGAACACTTATGAGTGATTAAAAAGAGCAACTGAAGAAAAATCTGTCCATTAAGCTGTTAAAAATTAAATTTTCTGTTGTTAAAACTAATTTTTGAAGCCTTATATAGTATTTGCAGAAATAGAGAGTATTTGCAGAAATTGAGTATAGAGAGAGAGAAATAGAGAGTATTTGCGTAGAGTATTTGCAGAAATTTTAGCCTGGAAGCAATCTGAAAAGAAAATTTGAATTAAAAATTTAATCGATTGTTTTTTGCCCCGATTTGCTTAGAAAATTAAAATTAGTTGAAGGTAGTTTTAATTTTGAAGAAAATAAGTTATAGTTTTCACCAGGGGGATTTAGGATTTTCTAGAGGGGCGGATTTTCATAAAATTTTTCAAAATTTTGTCGATCTTTATTTTTTAGGCAGACAATTGGTTTTCCGAGAGCTTCCAGAACACTGTAAAGACCCTATTTTTATTAATTTGTCTGTGCCGCAGGCAAGTTTTTGAAAAGAAACAGCTCAAAAACGACGTTTTTGGACATCTTTTGGAAATTTTTTGAGCGAAAATTGCGTTTTTTCGGCGCGCGCTCCTCTTCAAATTAATTATATATTGGCGCCGAAGATGCCTTTTGAATAGCAGAGCATGTAAAAAAGCTATGAAAAGAAATTTTGGAGAAGTTCGAAAGAGACCAATTTTGTGCCATGTTGCAGCTAAACGTGTAGTATTACGTTGCAAGGTATAGAAACGGTTTCCTAACGTTGTGACATTAAAAAAGTTTTTTTTTCTTTCAAAATTGAAATTCAATTTTGTCTAAATATAGAAAAGAGCGAAGAACACTTCCAATGTTTCTATTGAAAAGAGAGATAACGATGAAATCGATTGGAAACTTTCAGTCTGAGAATGACTTTCATGTATGCGGAAGAACTGACGTGTTCGAAACCATTATTGTCCTTTTGAATCATCTATTTAACTTAATTTAGATGTGTGAAATCATTTTAAAAACTAGCCGAAAATGTCTAACAATGAAATGGTTATTTGTTTGTGGGCAATGATTAACAAGGGTTTTGAAACTGGGTTCTAAATTTCCCATTGAACTTAAATTTACGGTTTCCCCTAGCCCTCTCCTCCACCGCTCGCTCCACACACACAGACCCAAAAATTGAAAGTCTCATCCCAATCATCTCTTAAAAGTAATTAAAACTAATGATATTAGTGAAGACTCTTATATAGGTCATGCTCATTTTTGTTTTTTTTTTCAGGAAAAAGTCTTACAATGTGCATGAAAGTCTCTAATAACTACAGATGTGCATTCTTACATATTGATGCATTTATGAATGCCTTTAGGTACATATGCGCATTTTGATTTAATTGAAATTCATCTGCTGAAAGTGATGTAAATAGCACTTTCCAAAAAGCGCCAATCATATTTCGTTCTAGAAATTCAAATATCTTAAATCTATTTTTTCTTTGAAATTTGCAACTTAGATTTTTTCAACAAAGTCAGTGTTTTTTTATGTTTACTTGCGTTCATTAATCTTTTCTAATCTTTGATTGGCTATTTTTTAACTTTGCCATATTTTTATGATTTTTTGCTGGATTAATTGAGACTATTCTTATGAATCCTCTTCTTTTTCTTTTAATCACTCGCGTGTTGCATGAAGCCATAACATCAGAGCACGGAAAATTGCTTTGAAAAAAGGTTTCGTGTAAATCAAAAGGGCCCAGATTCGCGACCTGTTTTGGCTAAACACGTGGTATTGGTATTACGTTACGATGCAAGGTATGTGAAACAAATAGTTTTTCAAAATTGAAATTCAAATGTGTCTAAATATCGAAAAGAGCCAATAACGCTTCCAATGTTTCTTTGGAAAAGAGGGATAACGATGAACTGGATTGAAGTTTTTTGATTTGAGGACTTTAATTTAATTTTTTTTTAAATTTAATTTAAAAATTTGATTTCAAATTGAGAAAATAGCTGAAAAATTTCCAACAGTGAAATAATTTTTTGGTTGTGGACAGAGATTAGCAAAGGTATTCTAGGTAGAAGATTTTTCTCAGTCAAGTTTTTTTCTGCAGGACTCATCTCCTTAATTCTCCAACTCCCATTGACCTGTTGCCCAACAGACGCATTTCGATTCGACATTAGTTGTTATGTTGATGTTAACTTACCACCGACTACGCCTTAAAGTTTTTTATTTTCTCGTTTTTACTTTAAATGCTTTTATCTGGCGATGTTCAACAACTGTTGATAAAATGTTGAGTGGATTCTCTGATGCTTACAGCGGTGTTGTGTGCAAAGATTTTTAGAACGGGACGGCCATTTGAAAAATGTTTCACCTCTTTTTAAACAACTTATTTCAAATTTTTGAGCTCTGCCGAACCGAATTATTTAAAGAAATTTATTTAATCTTGAATGATTATTTAAAGAAATTTTCTCTGAGCCGGATTCAGGTTTTTCTTCTGAGGAGGTTTGTGTTTTTGGGCTTTTTTAATAGGCAGTTGAAAAAGCGGCATTTTACCTGCGCTGTCTTTGCCTCAGAGTTTACTTTATCGCACTCAGTATACATTGGCGCCCCCGACTCACAAGTAAAGCCAAACTGTTTCGTTAAGGTAAACTTGATTAAATCAGAAATTGAGAAATGCAAGGGATGAAAAGTTCTGCAAAATAGTCTGGTTTTGTATAGAGATAAAGATAGATATCACTAAAAATTTGCTATTTCCCCCCCCCCCTCTCTCTCTCTCTTTCTGTAGTTAGAAATCACCTGAGCTTTTTAAATCCTTAATCATATAATTCGACAATTCATGAACTTAAACTTCAGGAACAGAATTTTGAACTTCAGGAACAAATCAGCTCCACTCTCTCCCTTTTAGCTAAAATCCTAAAACTACCCCTGCATGAATTTCGGCTAGTTTTAAGGTGCTGGATTCAATGATATAACAAAGAGACTCGGCTATTTTCCATTTTCTTATCCCCATGTAAAACAATAACGTGAAGTTGTTTAAAAATTCATACGTCAGTTTGCATGTTAGCATTGTTCTGAAAATGGGTTCTCTTGTTCACGATGACACGTTTTATGCCAATTAAGAACATCAAAAGCCAATTTACATAGGCTTTCCTAAATTGAATTTCAGAAAAAATTAAAAAGGGAACTGGAAAAGAGCGAGGGGCTCTTTTCCACTCTCCTACCCCACCTTTTAATTGAAATTTTGAAGAAAAAAAAAACACCTATAACGTTGTCATAATACAATGAATCTTGGCATCGTGAACAAACCAACAATTGTGAAAACATTTGTTCTTCATTCCTTAAATTGTAACATTACGCGTTTAGCCTTAATAACACGTCAAACAACTGTTTTAAAAATTTGAAAGGTGTGGGTGTTGTGGAAAAGAGCAATTGAAGGCAACCATTTGGGAAATTAATTGTTTTATAATATAGCGTCACTGAATATGAAGTAGCGTCAATTTATAGCGCCTCTTGAACATCTATTGCCGTTTTTTCCGTCAATTCTATAAACCACCCAACGTTATTTTCAGCTGGTTAAATCAGAAGATTTTGGAGTGAGTGGAAACATTAGTAATGATTTCACCTTTATTGTTGACGTTGGTTTGTAATGACGTAGGATAAAAAAGATTAATCACCCTGTTCTGTTGACAAAGCAGACAACATTTCCTATCTGAAAAGGGAATTTTTTGTTTGCTCTAATAATAGCAACAATTGTACTGTTTTTAGTCTAAAATTAAATTTCGCCGGTGTAACTATGGGGAAGTTTTTCTCATTACGTCTGCGGAAAAAGTGAATTGGTATATTGTAAGTTTTCCTTTCTTTTGCGTCCCCTCTGCAGTTTTACAATCGCGTTGAACCTTCAATGAAAAAGGCTTCAATTTCCTGTAAGAAAGTCCATATGTTTCGACAGAATTTAACTCTTATTTGCTCAATTGTTGAACTTAACTTAACATTTATTACTAAGCTTAAAAAGCCACTCAGCTGAATTCGGTCCTCTGGATTTTTCTTTATCTTCTAATGAACTTCTGAAACTGGACTGTTTTTTTATTCAGTGAAAATAAACGATTATGGTCAGTCTGAAAATATCGTCCAAGGACCTGGTCCCGTTACTTCACAACAATTCACTTGATGTCAACTTCAGAAGAAAAAGTAATTTTTATTTTTATCCCCGCAAGATTTGATCTTGTGATAACTTTCATATTAGTAACCTACTGAGCTTTCTATTGAAAACAAATGGCTCGTAGTTTTCCACTTTTCTCAAATATCTCATAATTGCTTATAATTATTTTAGTTTTGACAAGTTTATTCTTAAGTAATTTTTTGCGGTGTACAAATTTAATCGTTTTTTCCTCAGTCGATTTTACTAGAGCTTTTTTTGCTGAAAATGGCATCCTTGAACCCATTTAAAGACCAAAGTCTTGCATTCAAATTTAGCAGTATCGTTTTTCAAGATAGGTAGATCATTTATTATGTTTGAGCACCACTTTGCACGTTTGCAATAAGCAAGCGTTATCAAATCGGAATATAGACTTTCTCAGGTTAACAACTTATTAAACAAAATCACTTAAATCATTTGATTGCTTGATTAATTATGAATTCTAATGTCTTAGCTTCTCCGGTACACTTGACTCAGAGGTAACGACTTTGCCTGATACGACAAAACTCGGTTCGAATCGGCCAGGACTTGTTTTTTTGGCTCTTTTTCTTTTTCCCCACCTGCACTAATTAGTACATGACAAACATATTTGGTCTTCATACTCAACCTTGTAAAATCACTCGTTACACCATGAAATCGATGCTGATGTTAGGTACGGGGAAAGGAAAAAGAGCCGTTTTTTTAAACAGAAATTATTCCGCTCTAAAAAAATTGTCGGCCAATCGTTTTCTGATCATGTTCGTTTTCTGATCATGTTTTTCGGCTGAGCTCTGAGCTCCCAAATCACGGATTTGTTGTGCTGTTTTTGTTTTAATTTAATTTGAAGTTTTTTCGATTTACTAGCCCTGACTTTCCTTGAAACATACCGTTGCAAAAAAAAATCGTTTTTTTTTTGTTTTTTGGCTTAGTTCACATTTCACGGATTTTTACGAGCTGTGATGTTCGTTGAAGTTGCAAGTTTTTCGATTAAATAACCTTCATTGTTTTTCGCTTCAAAGCTTTTTTCGGCCTGTATCGTATCGGATTATGTTTTGACGACATAGTGATCAAATTCACAATTTTGGGTCGTTTGAAGGGCCCTTCCCCCGACCCATTTCCCCAGGAGAAAAACAAAAGAGTAGGCATCTTAGAGTTTTAGAATTTTATCGACTTAGCTTTATTGACTTAGTTACCGCTCGCTAAATGTTCCTGAAAGCTTATTTCAATATAGTGGTCGATTTTGTATATATTATTCTAGTGATTTTGGTAATTCAATTCTAAAGTTATTTTTCCGTCCAGTTTTTCTGATGGGTGGAAGTTTTTCAAAAAATGTGTTGAGGCAAGTGGTTTCAAATTTTTTGAAGTCTGCTGAAGTTCAGAGTGGGCATTTTGGTGGCAAAAATTTCTGCGGCGTACACAATTTTTGAGAAGAAAATGCCGTTAATGAGCAAACTTTGAAAAGATTCAACATGAAAGTTAACGTTAGAAAAGGACCATTTTGAAAAACTTCAGAACCAAAATTGAGAGGCGTTTGTGCTTAGGTTTTTGTTTCACGTCAATGGAAGTGACTGGAAAGAACTATGGTGTAGGGTCCGTTTTTTTTCAAGTAAATTTTGACTACCTCAAAGAAAGCGTTTAAGGGTGAGATCGCAATTAAAACTCTAGCAGAAAAATCAAAAAGGAAATTTTATGGAAAGCTGAACTCCCAAGTGTTTTTTTTTGTACAGTGTAAACATATTTTTTTCCGCTCTGTTTTGCTTTTTTCACTTGATACAATCACCTTTTCTAATAAAAACAGGAAGTTTTGACAACAACAATTGCAAAATAAAAAGTTGTTGCAACAATTTAGGGCGAAGGACTTTTGAATTCGGGCATTTCCTTCAGAAAAACAAAATAGTGTTGCGAGTTGCTAAATCCCTGTTCCGCAAAAATGAAAACAAAATTTGAAATATTATTTCGATTTTTTTTCATAAAGTTTTTATCACAAATTTTTGCATAGCTAAATGTGGGTACAACTTTTTGAACTCATTACATAAAAACCGACTATTCTTTTATTGCATAGAAACCAGACCGACTATTGTTTTATTGGTGAATTTGAATAAATTTTTAAAACTTCCTTAATTTTTCTCCAGCTGCTTATTTTTAATTGAATTGGATTTCAATAGTGTTAAAAATGAGAGTGAGAAAAATAGACACAATTGAAACTAATATTGTGTCTATTCCACAAGATTGGAAAATCTACTTGAAACAGTTTGGTATACAAGATTGTGGAAATGCTTTCCACTTTTCTGATGCTTTCCATAGCAGATTGTGTTGAGTGATTTATCATAAGATCATGAGAGACCCCTTTCACTCTTGATTTGATCGGTATTACAAAATTGAGAAAAACCGTTTTGAAAGTTTTGATTTTTAGAACACTTATGAGTGATTAAAAAGAGCAACTGAAGAAAAATCTGTCCATTAAGCTGTTGAAAATTAAATTTTCTGTTGTTAAAACTAATTTTTGAAGCCTTATATAGTATTTGCAGAAATAGAGAGTATTTGCAGAAATTGAGTATAGAGAGAGAGAAATAGAGAGTATTTGCGTAGAGTATTTGCAGAAATTTTAGCCTGGAAGCAATCTGAAAAGAAAATTTGAATTAAAAATTTAATCGATTGTTTTTTGCCCCGATTTGCTTAGAAAATTAAAATTAGTTGAAGGTAGTTTTAATTTTGAAGAAAATAAGTTATAGTTTTCACCAGGGGGATTTAGGATTTTCTAGAGGGGCGGATTTTCATAAAATTTTTCAAAATTTTGTCGATCTTTATTTTTTAGGCAGACAATTGGTTTTCCGAGAGCTTCCAGAACACTGTAAAGACCCTATTTTTATTAATTTGTCTGTGCCGCAGGCAAGTTTTTGAAAAGAAACAGCTCAAAAACGACGTTTTTGGACATTTTTTGGAAATTTTTCGACCAAAAATTGCGTTTTTTCGGCTCGCGCTTCTCTTCAAATTAAGTAGATATTGGCGCCGAAGATGCCTTTTGATAAGTTTTAGGGTTCGTCGGCGAAAATGGATGTCCTAAAATAATATCAAACAAGAGGGGACCCTTTGGTTGGTGAGTGGGTCGAATCCTTGAGAGGGATGTGTCCGCTCCCGCTCCCCGCACCACGCACAATAAGCGACAGGTATTAAAAAATGAACGTTTTTTTTTTAAAATATTTAAATCAAAAATAACAGTAATTCTTGTTATTTTATGAGATTTAAAGGCAATCCAAAAATTTTCTCAATGAAATCAGGGAAAACGTAACAGATGTTGACTTAAGGGTATGAGACTAAGTTTTACATGCAGGTAGTTGAAACGAATTCACAAATTCGCTGTTTGCTAATTATTAAAGACTTGGAAAATTTTCAGTTCCTCTGATTTTGATTCGATGCACCTGCTGAAACACTAAACCATCATGGTCTGATAGTAGACTGAATAACCAATCTACCAGTATGGTTTTGAACTGAATAAATTTCATTTTGTTAGTTCCGCCGTATTCATTCAGCTTGAAAATTTAATGTATGTTTTTGACTGACTTTGTTGCATAAAAGTAGATATTTTGTCCTCAAAAACATAATTCGTTTTACATCCTATCGCTGTTATGGTCTGAGCGCATTATGGGATATATACATGATTTGCAAATGGGTAAGAAAGGCTAACACACCCTTCGCAAACATCAAACCTATACTAAAGGAAGGCGAAATACTTTTAATGTTATGTTTTACTTTCATGTCAAGGGCTAAATTAGGGCTGAGTACGAACATAGCAAACCCTAAAAAAAAGCACATAAAAGACAGCGAAGTTTTGTTCCTGATAAGTTGCGCAGGTCTCTTAGGTATACACGTTGGATGTGTCCTTCGAACTGTTTTTTAATCATTTCATTCCCAAACTTAGACAGTAAGTGGGCGAAATCTATGCCTTCCGTCTATCACCTCCATTGTTGTGCTGTTTGTTGTAAAAGTGGTGCATATTTTTATTAAATACTTGAAATACTTCTGAATATTTGCTTTCAAGTATTATTGGAGAAGTAAATTCTTCTTATAAGCTCAAGATTCATACAATAAAATAATTGTGGTTTCTGCGATTCGCAGAGGTTCTCTGGAAGACTATCAGGACTGTCTAAGCACAGTGCTAACCGTACATAGTTAATTTTGGGCCAAGTCTTTATGGTTCGGTCAAATTTTTCTTTGAAAGTCGATCTTTAATTATTTCCACCCTATGTAAAAAATATCCAACCCTATAAATTACCTATTGAATGGTTAAGCTTTGTAGAGAGTCCCCCTTTTGTGGAGGAGGGGGGTATATGAAGAGATCCTTCAATCTTCACATTACTTCCAAATTAGTGGAGCCTAATGAGAATTCAAAATAATTACAACTTCGCGTGAATAATTTCATACATTTTGAGATTCTTGCATATTGTAATGCATTTATCAGTTTAATCTTTTCACTCCTGTTTTATTGTTCCGATAACTCTCGAAGAGTGAGAAGGAACTATGGCGTAGAGGCCGTTTTTCTCAAAACATTTTTTCAAACCAATTTTGACGACCTCGAGGAAAGCTCTTAGGATGCCAAGTGTGATATCATATTGAAGTCTTATTGGTCGCAATTCGGATTCCAATAACCAATAAAAAATCTCTCAGTGACGAGAGAAACTGTTCTGAATTGAATTGTTTAGTTTTTCAGACAAAGTTAGATGAAGGATGATAGGAATTTGCTTAGAGGCTGACCTCCAATTCGAATTCTACTACAATTTTTAAGTTATTAACTACCACTCATTTGCGCATTATTTCACCTTATGCGATTGCCAATTTTAAATTTATTGATTTTTTCTTCAATGAATGTGGTTGGAACAATTTGTGCTGCTTTTAGGCCCAGCAATAGGTTATCCTTGTTTTTTTTATAGAGCTGAGGAGGCGTGGCGTAGCCCTTGGACGCAATGACCCCGGAGACCTAGTGCTATGCATGGACCCCAGCAGGAGCTACTTCCGCTTCGTGGTCCTTGTGTTCACGTGTGTGATGTCATTTGGCAACTATTATTGCTTCGACATGCCCAGTGTGCTGCAGAATGATTTTCAGGCACCCAGACATTGTCCCCCTCCCCCGTCTACTCCAGCTCCAGATTATATGGATTCCGACAATTCTACAGCCTGCACCACAGGTTAACTTACTTGAATAGTTTTGTCCAAATAAAATAGCGGGAAGCCTATTTTTCAAATCACGTTAAAAAATTGCGCTGCATGCACTACTTAAATACGAACCACCGTCAATTTAAATAGATTTTAAAAAAGATGTTTTCATGAGTTTAGTTATACAAGCTCGTGGAAAACTGCTATGCCTTTTTCCAAAAACGTGCTTAGTAATTTTCTACCTTTTTTCTAGTTCGACCAAATTGATTTTCCGAGAGCCCCAAATTCCTACAAAGACCCTTTTTTGGTAAATACTTCTGCTCCCGAGGCGAGTTTTAATAAAAACAGGTCAAAAAGTTTTGACCAAAAAATCCAATTTTAATTCTGCTGGCGCCTTCTAGAAAGTTTAAGGGTAAGTCAAGCAATAGTAAGTGTCATAAAAAAGTACTAAAGGGGTTCGCCGAAAGGTGATTTTGGTAACCAGAATTGAGGGAAGAAGAGGGGTCGTCTTCCACCCCTACCCTCTCCCCCTTGGCACTCTACTGCTCATTTCACTCATTTCAAATGGGGGGATATTGATCAATTCTGTTTCCTTAACCATAAATCAACAAAAAGGTTAAGTGAAATCAGTGTTAGTGACTAGATGATTTTGGTCGCTATTTGGGGGCGAGTTGGATTACTATATAATTTTTCATACAAAATGTATCTTCTCTGACTCTTACTCCCCCTTTTTCAGGCCTGGGAATGACAGCTCAGCAGTACAATTTGCTCTACGCCATCTACTCGTGGACTAACGCTTTAGTCGTCTTATTCTCGGGCTTCTTCATAGACAGATTCGGAAACATGGTCGGAGCTCTAGTCTTCAGTTGTCTGTGTCTGGTGGGCTCTTCCGTCTTTGCATTTGGTGCTACAATCGAGGATTCCAATTGGATGATGGTGTGTATGCTGGCCGGAAGATTACTCTTCGGAGCCGGTGAGTGATTATCTTTACTATAAAACACATGCGAAATGTTTTCAAATCATGGTATTTACTAGAAAACACGATCCGAATATTACTAGATCCGAATATTGAGAATCCGAATAAAGATCCGATCTTTATTTTCAGTCATATATATTTTCTGAACATATCAGCAATCGTAGACATAATTTAATTTTGATTGTGAACTATATATTGCTGTTACAGGCGACGGTTCCGTCACAATAGTTCAATATCGTATGTGCTCTATGTGGTTCAAAAACAAAGAACTCGCCTTCGCCTTCAGCATGAAACTGGTCGTATCTCGACTTGGCAGTACTCTCAACTTTCTCCTCACTAACCGGATCGTGTCCGAAATCGGAGTCTGGCAAACCCTTTTCTGTGGAGCCGGATTGTGCGGATTGGGTTTCCTGTCAGCATTCTGTGTCGGGTTTCTAGACCGACAGGGAATGAAAATATGCAACAAGAGGAAGATATTAGTTAGCAGTGATCACGTGAACGAGGGCAGCACGGGCGCGGGTCTGGTGCAATTGGGACATATTTTGAAGTTGCCCAAATTGTACTGGTTGAATGCCGGAGCGATTGTGTTCTTCTACTGTACTCTGTTTCCATTCGTGGCTGATTCGCCAATGTTTGTTGGAGATCAATACGGGTGAGTGGTTTCATATTTGAGCTCGTTGGACTGCAAAGGTTCTCAAATTCTTGAGGATCAATCTCTAAAAATATATTGAGAAGAGAAAAAATTGGCCTAAAACTACCATATTTATTAAATAATAAAAATATATAATCTCTTCATCCAAAAAAAAGATGCATACACATATCTTAATGTTTTCTTCAGAAAACTAGATGTGAAAATAAGACTTACAATATAAATATAATACTGTCAATTAATGAAAATAAAGTAATTAAAAAGTTCAGAGAATTATTTGATCCGTCTATTGCTTCTGTGCTGATTCATTGCGGACTGAGTATTTAGTCGAGATATTCTCCACTTAACGTTATTTTTATAAAGTGTGTTTCAGTTTTGACAACGACAAGGCCTCAGTCACAGCCGGTGCCCTTTATGACGTCAGTCTGTTCTTCATGCCAGTCGCAGGAGCACTCGTGGACTACTTCGGATTCCGGGGATTCCTCTGCTCGTCGGCACAGCTCCTCACCATACCAGTGTTTGTCATTTTTGCCCTGGACACCTCAATCCAGCCACTGACAATGTTCATTTGGTACGGAGTGACGTACTCATTGACTGCATCGGTGTTATGGGCTTGCATACCTTTGATTGTCGACCCGAGTATAGTCGGTACAGCTATGGGGTTGACTTCATGTGTTCAGATGCTGGGAATTGGAACGTCTAATATGATTGTCGGTGAGTTGCTTGTTAGATGTTTTTTTTTCGGATTCTATTTTCTCAAAAAAGTGTTCCATGATCTTTATTACAATCAACCTTAGTCTAATATTCATTGTTCTACGCAAATAGAGTATTTGTGAAGACCATACTATTGAACTTTTTACACTTGCGATAAGCAACGGTATTGTAATCGAGTACAAGGCTTTTTTTCCTGTAAACAACTTCGTTCAGAGAATGAGCGAAATTAAATTATGATAGTTTCAATAGCTACATGGTTCGTCTAGTGAGTAGTAAATGCATATTAGGTATGAGCTTTGGGTTCCTTTGAGTTTTTTTAAGAGTATTTTTCTGTGCCAAAAATTTTTGGTAGATTTTCGGCACTGGAAGAGGTCAGCTTTAATTTCGTGGGTTTATTTTCCGAATGTTTTTTTTCGATTGACTTTCTTTGGTATTATGTGGGAGTGATTGATTTCTAATATGAAATTTTAGAAAAGTTTAAATCAACCTTCCAGACTCTTAAGAAATGAAAAAAAAATGAACATTAAAAATTTGAATAATTTTTTTTCTCAGTTCAAGTAACAGAATTGATTCAAATTTTGTTGTTTTTGGTTGTTCGATCGGTTGTATTCATCGCATTCTTTTTAGTTCAGATAAGATAGCTGAATAGTTTTTGCACATTGCTTGTTATTTTTTTTTGAGTTTTTTGGCATTTGAGTTTTAAATTTTTTTCTCATTGGGTTCTAATCCTTTTTTCAAAGTAGCTATTTCTTTTGAAAAATGAAGACGAAGCAAGCCTGAAGTCCTGTCAAATCAGAATTAAATCAACTCGAAATTTTCGGCAATTTTGTTCGAAGTTGCTAACGCATTTGTTATTTTACTATGTCAACTTGAGTTGTTGTCTGCTACTTTTCCTGATTAAGTTTTTGTATTCCTTTGCTTAAAAGTTTTTTCAATGTGTTAATGTTGTAACGAAATAACATTTTTGTTTGTAAGTTTTTCTCGTCAAATTTAAAAAAAACGTTCTGTTTAATTTTATTTCACTTCCAGATAATATTGATACGTGTCTGGACTAATTTCGTTTGTTTTTTTCGTTAGTTAAATTGCGTTTTTTGGCTGAGTTTTTGTTCAATTTTCTCATTCTTTAAAATTGTTTTTGTTTGACCGGATTTTTTTAGGAATTAAAATCGGCGTTTGTTTTTAGCTTCAGAATTTCAAAATCGTTTGTTTGTTCTGAGCAGCGTCTCTTTCTTATTTCTACATCTTTGTTTGATTAGATTTTTTTTGAGCAATTTTTTCTTTAAGCAAGAATAATAATTATTTGATTTTGCATTGTTTTCAAATGTTTTTGAAGTATACTATTTTCAATAGTTTGTTGTTTCTAGAAACTTTTAAAGTTGTTTCAGGTGAGATTGTTTGTTTATTGTATTTGTTCTGATTATTTTAAAATAATATAAAATTGTTCGGTTATTGTATATTGTGTTATCTAAAAAAATCGGAATTAGTTTTTTTTCATCAGTGTGCTGCTTGCAAATAGTTTCATCGCGTGTTTTCTGCAAAGATGGCCAGTTTAAAACGTCAGTTGGAGTCAAGATGATTTTTTGAATCTGATGTTTTGACATTTTTTTCTTGACATACATTTTTTTCCATCGCAAGTGGTGCGGAGCTCTCCTTCGCATCTGTGTAAAGTTTTTTTGATATCATACAAAGTTTTTGGCTAGAAAAAGTCATTATTTTTTTAAAATGTCATTTCTCAGTAGAAAAGTTGCAAAACCGAAGAGTTCGTGCCATGAGTGCTCTGTTTAGGTGCTCTTTTGGGTCACAAGACGGACACAAATGAAGGCACTCAGTGGGAGATCATCATGCTCTACTTCCTAGCCACCACCTGTATCTGCTGCCTCTTCTGTTTCCTTCTTTCTCTCAGTGACCTCTGTTTCGGAAACAGGGTGCTCAACAGGGGCAAACGGGTCCAGTCTGTCAACTACACCAGAAACATACACATCAATTCAGGCGTAGATGAAGTAGATGATTCGGTCAGGGACTCAACCGAGAATTCGAGGTCCTCAAAGGAGGCACTCACAGAACAAGAAGACACGCAAACTTTCGATTATGCTAACAGTAAAGTCGTCCAATTGAGATCGGACTCTACGTATTCACGTTTACATGAGCAACCTTCGGAAAATTCACAAGGCCGAACGATTAAAATTAGCGAAAATTCGATATCAACAGTGAATGAAGATCAAGAAATGAGTGCTTAGATATTTTACCAAAATAAATTGGACAAAGCCGAGCTGAACAAAGTTAAAAACCTTTTTCTATTCTTTATTTAAAAAAACTTATGTTTAAGTAATGATAAAATTATAGTTAGTGCTAAATTATATTTGTTTTATTCAAATTAAGTATCATTGTTCCGATTAATTGAAAAATCAGGTATCACAAATAATCAGCGGAATCTAAGAAACTATAAAAGCCCTTTTAGACGTGATTCGAACAACTGTATAAAAAATTGGAAAAAATTTCTCAGCGTCGAGAAAAACCGGTTTGAAATTTTTGGTCTAATTTTGAGCTAATAAAATCACAATATAAATTCAAAATTTTAGTCGTCTTTCAATTTTCTGTTTTTCCACTACGACTGTTTTAGTAAAGAGATACTAAATCAGTTGAATACTGAATGAGAGTGAGAAATAAAAAAAGTTAAAAATGATCAATTTGTAGTAAACAAATTATATAAATGAAGTCAGCCTCATATTACGAAACTCAAGTTTGACTTAGCCCATTTAAAACAAGCCGAGACTGTTAAACCGAATAAAAACGAAAAAGTAATCATTCGAAATCAGACTCGTTAATTTAAAATTTACTAGTTTTCAATTATAGTAAAAACTATTTATATCAAAATAAAATCCATGCTTTAGAAAGAAAGACAGGATAAGCTTTACCAAATAATATAAGTGGCTTTAAAAACGAAAAATGAACCGACATAAACAGACAAAAACCACGAGTCCAAAATTTACTGAAAAAATAATTACTAACTGAAACGAGCTTTGTTTAATTACTAGTTAAATAATGGTGTTTTTTTTTAATTTTCAGGAAATTGAGCATGCACGCAGTGAAATTTACCTTACTAAATTGACAATTCTGTGAACAAGGTTATTTATAGTGAAAAAATCTGATCGCAAAGGTAAGAAATCCAATTCAAGCCCAATATGGGTTGAATATGCTGCCTCACTTGACCGCCTGCAGGTTTCCGTTAGGTTGTCAAAATTGGCTGGAAACAAATGACCCTGCGCACTAGTTCCTTCCAACTTTTCGAAAGTGGTCGTAACAAGGAAAGTTTAAGTGAGTTTTGAAAAATGTATTGGGGTGACGTTACTATTCGGATTTGTAGGTCTATGATGTGAACATATTCTGATACCTGAAAACTTTAAAATAATCTATTGCAACTATTCTTGTTGACTGCGGCTACAAAGTAAAAGAGCAAATAATTATTAGCATGCTTATCATTGCTAATGCCTTCTGTTCACCCAATTCCCCTTGCCTCAAAAAAAGAGCTAAAAGAATTTGATCAGAAAAATTATTTAAAAAATTGTGTGATCAGACTCAAGTTCCGCCGAGCAGAAAATGTTCGATTGGAATTCGACTAAGCAAAACTGTTTGATTGAAGCTTAAATTAAACAGAATTTAATAGCCAAATTCGCGCAAAAAAGGCAAAGGCAATCCCAAAGGCAATCGAAACAAAAAAGTGCCACTTTCAACAATTATCTTTCTTTTTTCGATCTCGCGTTCGCTTGAATCAGAATTTCTTCACTTTCTTCCTTTTTTCCGGCAAAATATGTTTTTAAACATGTTCAATTATAAAAGAAAATTGAGCATTATCCGGCGTTTGAATAGCTTTTTAGCTACTGTGCAGAAATTACAATTATAATTAACGAACTGCTGTTTTGCTTCGCAAAAAAATTGCAGTTCAGAATAACAAGAGTTACAAACAACCACTCCAAGTTATATCGATGAAACGAATAAATCTTGAACTATCAGATGAGTTTTTCTCAAATTGGGTTCAGTCAACAAAAACAAAAAATGACAACAAATTTTTCAATAAAACCCAGCAAAAAAAAATAACAGGCTGCAAATCATTTTGCAAAGTTTGGGCTTCAAAGTTTAATCAAAACAATGACTATTTTTTGCTTTGCGGTCAACCCACGTTAACGCCAAAAATACGCTTTCAGTTGCTGACAAAACTAATTTAAAGTGAGCTGCGTGTGTCGCTTAATAAAGCTCATGATGAAATTTCTCATTAATTTCGAGAAAAAATGAGTTAGACTAAGTCGAAAAAGCCACCTTGCTCCGAAAAAAAATCAAATTTTAACACATTTTTATAAGCAATTTGCGCAAACATTTGTTGGATTAAAAAAGAGGCTCAGTTTTATAAATATTTGTCAGCAAGTGAACTGATAGTTTGTGCGAATTTGTGAATCCTTGTTTTGGTTAAACCTATCGGCCCGACTTCTGTTTTATTAGTAAAAAATAAATTGAGTTTGATAGCCAAAAAACGTCGCTTTACTATAACAGTAATAGTTTTTTAATTTAAAACTTTTATAATCAATTTGCGCAAGTTTTTCAGAAAAAAATATTTATTTGGCAAAAAATTTATGCCCTTGCTAATTTTGGTTGGTTTACAAAAAGCGCTCCTTTTTATATATAACTTTGTCTGCAATTAAAAAACTTATAGTTTAGTTGAAAATATGATTGAAAAACCCAAAATGATCCAAGTTGTAGGTAAGTTTAATGGCCCAAGTTTTGCAAAACTGCACCAAAATCATTCTATTGAAAATCCAAGCAATTTGTGTCATGTTCCATTTTTGTCCTAAGTCAAGCTAGTTGGAGAAAAAAGCAATCTAAACATTTAGTTTTGTTCGTCCTGCCCGCATAAATTAAATGAGAACTGTACTTTAAAAGCAAAACCAAATTAAGGCTCCAACAACACTTTTGTATTAATCAAAACTAGCAAATTTTGTTATTTTAGCTAGTTTCTAAAGAACTGTAGCAGATGCTTTAAATTGTACCACAAAGAGATCTTAACATTTCAATTAAAAAACGAATTAAACAGAATGCTTTCTGCTTACTTATAATTTAAGTAAGAAAAACTTTCTTACATGATACAGCAAAATATGATGAAAAAGAAAATATGACTGACAAAAATTAGAAACAAGTTCTCTGCATGATTAGATTATCTCTAAAAATTAGACCAAAAAAAAATTTGGTTGATTCGCTTGTTGCAAATGTGCTTTGACTAGGGTAAGCTAAATAAAACAATTTAAAAAATTTCTCTGTTTTTGTAAGTCAAGGGAGAATTTTCATTGCAATGACTAAAGTTTTCTCTGTAACTGTAACTCGAGGTAGATTTTTCAATGGATTGACAAAAGCTTCAACTCAACTGCCTTTACGCCGGAACTACCAGTTTAGTTGCTGACAAAACTAAATTAAAGTGAGCTTCGTTTGTCGCAGAGTAAATGTATCAAGAAACTTGTCATTATTGAATGAAAGCATTTAACTAAGTTTGATAACCAGAAAGTGTTTTTTACTACGTGAATTATCAATTTTTTATTTAATAACTTTTTCATATGCTTTTTGTAGCATCTTAACAAAAATGTTTTAGCAAACATTATGTCCTTGCTAATTTTTGTTGCGTTAAAAACAAGCTCAATTTTATAAAGTTTTGGCAGTAATTGAACCGATAATTTAGATGAAGTTGTGATTGAAAAAAAGGATCCGTGTTTTTGGTAGGTTTATTGGCCCGAATTTTGCAAACATACAGCACGTTCATTTTACCACGCAATTGTAGTCAGGTTCAATTTTTGTTGTTTTTCTAGCCGATTGGAGAATCTCTTTCAAGTCTTTTTGTCCCGCCCGGATAAATTAAATGGGGACTGAAGTTACAAAGCAAAACCAAGCTATGGCTCCGGCAACACTTTTGTGTTTTACCAGTTTTTTCCAATACTAGCGATTGTCAACGAAGTTTGAATTGTGATGAGACATACTCATAATACTTTTGGTCTTGGATAGTGTTTTGTTCTTTATTTCCGGTTGAAGCACTCATGGTTCGTATAAACGAAGGCTCGAATGAACGAAAATGTTGTTGGCCTATCGGAATTGGTTTTTCAGAAAATCGAAGGAAACGGACAATAAAAGCTATCAGTTTTGGACACTTTGAAAGTCCTTGATTAGTTTAATATTTTCGAACATTCTGTCCTTCGCGCATGAGAACAGCCCCTTATTTCCATCAATCGAAAGTCGTAAAGTTTGTTACTACAGCTATTTCCTAAACTACTCAGCAAAAGTCTTAAATTGTACTTCAAAAAATTCTTATCACTCGCAGAGTATTTGGATAAAAAGTGAATTAGACAGATTGCCTTCAGTTTAAATGTAGAAAAAAAAACAAATTAAATTTACAGTATCCAGAAAAAATATGATTTAAAATGAGATATGTCAGACAAAAGTTTTGAACACATTTTCTACATGATTAGATTAACTCTATATTCCGAGTCCAAACTGTGCATTTTGTGAATTATAGATGGATTCCGCAACAAAGACGCTTTTTTTGTTCTTTCTCCCTCTTTGATTGTTCCGACAAAATTTCAACATATTTAAAGACTTGTCTCTGCAATCCAGGAACATACAGACACAAAAATGCGCGCCTATCCAGCGGACAGTTTGGTCTCGTAGTGTAAAACTAAAATAAGAGAAAGAAAAGTTGTTTGCTAAGTTCCGACCACAGGAAGTTAAGTAAAAACAATAAAAAAACATACTTTTTAAATTGAAACTTTCGAAACATTTTTTCTGCAGTTTTTTCCCTGTTGTTGTAAGCCAAGGGAGGGTATTCAATGGAATTACTATAGCTTCAACCGCGTTAAAACTTATGTAAAAGGGAATAGTTATTTCATTCTCTCGTCGGTTCCATTTCTTCGTAGAAAAGAGTTTGAAAAAATGGAACAATTCAGACCAGCTTTTTTCGACACTGAGAAAATTTTTCATTTTTTACGGAAATCCAAATCGCGACAGAAAGAACGGGTTGCGCGTGGAAAAAAAAACCTGGTCCAAAGTTCTTTCCCACTCCTGACTGGATAATCGGAACAAAAAAGCACTTTTGTTAGATTTAGTTTAGTTCTAAAAAGCTAGCACTGGGTCGGTTGACTTGTATATGCTGAGAAGTGTCTCTGTTCTTGATTTGGGGGGTCTGGCGGAGCAGTGACTGCCTGATGTCTTGCCACTGCTGGTCAACTCGAGTTGATCGGACCAGTCCAATTTCGAGAGAGTGTCCGCCTCTGTTAGCACGGGTGTGTGAATTGGCCGATGGGAACTCGTTACTTAATAATTGTTTTTTTTTCATTAAATATACAATCAAAACAATTGATTTGCGACAGAAGCAGCACACAAATTTTGATACGATAATTTTGATTCTTAGTAAGAAATTGTTCGGAAGTACAAATGGCTGATAGTTGTGTAAATTAGGCAGTCTGTAGAATCAAGGTTGTGTAAAATATTGCGTGTATAATGAATAATGGTCTTCAATAAAATTTAAATGAAGTATACTGGCGGTATCGGGCAAAAATGTAATACTTTTTGATGAATTTCAAAAGAAATTATGGTAGTTTTTGCAGAAAATAGCTGTTTTGGAGGTCAATTTATGTTAATTATGGAGGACAATTCACTGAATTGTATACCTGCAGCATGATAGAAAACCCTTCTTATGTATCCCTCCTTAACCAAGTAGACAATCTGCCAAACTGCGCTTACAACCAAAACACACGTGTATATCAAACAGGTGTTGTAAAACTGAAACGCTTCGTTTAGATACCCTCCGAACACAAACGCACCCACCGAGCGACTGGTCGCTGCCATTAGATTGTAACACGAAGCGCCAAGAGTCTTGATTTGACCCGGGTTGTCATACCCTTTTTTGAGGGCTATCTGCTCCAAAACCAGGTAATGCGGGTTGAAAATTGAAGATACACTTACTCCAAATACGAACAGCATTGGTAATACATACAGTACATTTTCAACCGAATCCTCAAAACTGGGAACGTAGAAGGCAAAAAAAGCCATGACAATAACAACTTGGCCAAATATCAGTACGAAAACACCCAAGCCTCGTTTGACAAGAACTCCAAATATCGGTGCCGCTACAACGTAAGCCATTGAAAAGGGTAGAAAAGCGTAGCCTACGTTATTTTTAGAGACATTCAAATTGGTCTTTAAATAATCCGCAAACGAACTGTCTCGAAATCCCATAGTTGAAAACAGAAACATTTCAGGAATTATAAATAATAAAACTCTTGGCTGAAAAAAGAATTTCAAAAATTCAGAGTTACTAACTTTTGGTTTCACAAAACTTGTCTGTTTTACATTTGTGGGAACCAAAAATATCGACAATATGCAAGTAATACCTTCAGCTAAACCAGTTAGTATAAAAGGGGTTTCATAATTTGAAATTGGTAACAAAACGCTGCCTAAAAGCGGCCCGCATAATAAACCGAGGCCAAAGGCGGTGTGAATAACCGCTGTAACTGAACTCGAGCTGTCGGGAAACATCCTGACGCTCAGGGGGACTACCGTGTTTTGAATCAGTGATGTGCCCACTCCATTGATGACCTTACAGGCCAGGCAGATGATGTAAAACTGGGTTCCGTTGTCGCAATTGGAACCCCAGCCGAAAAGTGCAATGGATACTGATACCTAAAATGCAAAACGATATCCTTGTAATAAAAAACTTAGATTGACTGCAGTTTATTAATTGGGAGTCAGTGCAATGCTTCCTAGAATAAAAAAGTTTTCAAATTTCTCAATTTTTGTTCCGATTACTTCACGATTTAGAGATTAATTATGGCATAAGATGTGATTTTTTTTCAGCCAACTTTGCCTAATTGAAACAAAGATCGTAGAAGGTCAATTTTGGTTAAAAATTGATTTTCAGACAAACTTTTGTTTTTTGAGTGCAATTTAAAAAAAATTGTTAACTAATCTGAATTAACTAGTTCGTGAAGTTTTCAATAGTATCCCATACCCTCTTTTCAGAAAGAATAAGTCAAAAAACATTGATAGTTTTCTTTTTTTATCGGCTATCCTGGTTTCCAAATGAAATCATAGTTTCTGTTTGGTGCATTTCGTATTCAACATAGAAAACTACTTTTTTGTGTTTGAATGCACAAGCTCAAATCTGCCTTAATTTGATGTGATATACTTTCAAAATTTAGAATGGTACCCAGAGCATTCCGATGATATTGAAGAACTTGAGGTTCTTCTGACACACGATACTTCCGATGGCGAATGCGGACAGAAGACTGCTGATGTCCGAGGAGGCTGTGACCCACCCTACCTGAACTTGATCGAGACCTAAACAGATGTTTTTCCATTGTACTTCTTAATTTTATTATATGCACATTTCATTAATGCTTCAACATCTTAGATATTCTTAGAGTTAGATATCAGCTTGCATCAATCCCACGTCGCGGTGGTGATTTCATTTTCAGAGCACGATGACCAAAGTCTTTTCAGACCCTTGAGAGCCTAAATTACGGGTTCTCGACCAGATTTTGAATGATCAAGTCTTGGTAATCGAGGAGAATCCATTGGGGACGTGGCGCCTAAGTTTCGGTATGTTCAGGCATTGAGCACGAACGATATTTGTTCACTCCGGGGAAATTTGAAGCTAGCACGTACATTTTTGAAGCTGCTTGGACAATTTATGTAATTAATTTGAGTAAAGTTCACTTTTTGCTATTCAAAAAAGACCCATACCCATTGCTTCTAATGGTCTAATTTTTAGAAATGGTTAGCAGCGGTCTTCGTAATGAGCTCAACAGCTCATTTTTGGTTCTTTCTCTGTGGATAAATTGTCAAGTCTAACATTAATATTTGAGTATTAATTAGTTGTTTCAAATGAGTATATATTTTTTGATTCTAAATTGAGGCCTTTTTCAGAAAAAATTAAACTTGCCAATTTTCAGCTCTTCACATTTTTTTATCTGAAATGATTTGTAAGTTTCACTCTGCGTTTCGAAGTCAATTCTTTTTAGAGACTTTTTCAGACTTGATTCAAATTGTTTTTGAGTCGAGGTTTTTAACTTCAGGTTATTTTTTCCATTTACTTTTCTCTTTCATTCAATGAAACGATACAAAAAAACGTATTTTCTTTTTTCTATGTATTATTTCATCCATCAAACTCGGATTCAAGTTTTGAAATTAAACTGTTATATAAAGTTAAAGCTTCGCGTGGTTTTTTATTCAGTGTCCTACAATTTAATGACATACAATCACTACTAAACAAATTAAATCGACAACAATATAACTCCTATTTTCCAGTTTAACACAGTACATTTTAACACCTAGTCATCTCACTATTAAAATTAATGCTGTATGAATTCCTTATATTAACTCTTATCACACTAAAGTTACTCCTGCAATTAACACACGCACCACAATGAAAAACTTGGTTTATCTTAGTTATACATGCTAAAAGGAGGCTTCCTAATTTACTTAAGATTCTTATCTACAAGTTTGTAATTTATTTTCAATTAGACATTTCGCTAAACCACGATATTTCAGCGGAAAAATTGGAGGCCCGAAATGTCATGAAGCATATAAAAGATCTCAGCGAGAGATTTATCCCGACTGTTGCAGTTGCTAGAGCGGTTTTGCCAATTACAAACGATTTGGCCACTCAGTTTGCCCTCCCAAGTAAAGACAGGCTGATCCGAACGCTAATATGCCGCCCATCCCCGTTGCGCAAAATTTCGAGATCCCTGAAAATTTTGAAAATTTTATCCGGTATGATAGTGGATCAAATGATCATGAGCGAATCATATTGTGTGGCGACCCCGAAATGCTGAGAGATCTGGAGAAGTCATCTTTCTGGTTAGCTGATGGAACTTTTAGAATTAATCCAAAAATGTTCTATCAGCTATATTCAATTCATGTTAGCGTATCTGGCATTGCGCCAGCTTCCATTTACGCCTTCCTTCCTAACAAAACCGAAAAAACCTACAATCGCTTCTTGCAGGCGTTAATTGATTTAGCACCCAACTTCCGGCCTGAAAAAATTTTGTTAGATTTTGAGCCAGCTTTTCTTCAGTCCTTCCAAAAAACATTCCCCGAAGCACATTTATCGGGTTGTTTTTTCCATCTCTCCCAGAGTTACATGAGAAAAATTAATGAATTGGGTCTGAAAGTGACCTACGAAACGAATCACGATTTAGCGCTGGCTTTGAAAATGCTGCCATCCCTTGCATTCGAAAAAAAGATCGGCGATTCCTATGACATGATCGTTCAGGAAATTCAGAAATGTATGCGACAGAAATTGTTTAGAACCCGAGAAAATTGAGAAAATTGACAAGTTGTGTCTGTACTTCGGCTCTACTTATATAAAAAGCTTGGTGCCAAACCGTGAAGTTTCATTCCCACCCTCCATTTGGAGCCAGCGAGATGCGGCCGTGATGGGGATTGCTCGAACAACATATGCTGTCGAGGGATGGCATTTCGGGATTCAATCATATTTCAGCGGAGCCCACCCAAATATGTGGAAAGTAGTGGGCAGCCTATAAAAATACGCTTCCGTACAAAAACTCAACTTTTTTGATGCATCAAGTGGCCATAAATTCACAAAAAAGAAAAAGTATCGAGTTTTAAATGAAAGAGTACAAAACATAATGTCCGTTTACGAAGACAAAACCGATCTGTACTTTTTCAGAGCGTTATCTAGTTTGTGTTAAACCATTGTAAATTTTGTTTCATTTTTGTTTATTCTTTCGTTTTATTAAAGTTCAAACTTTAATCCTACTGAAATTTTTGTCAGCTTTTTTTGAAAAGACGTTTCCTTGCAGACTCCCGGAAACGTAACTAAACGCAAGAACATGACTCGTGCCTTAGCAATTTAATCCCAGGACAATCGCCCTTATTTTCGGGATGCTAGGCGTTTATGTTCCAACAGTTCAAAAAAAGCTGACAAAGCGATCAGGTCATAAGTTTAAGTTCGAGAATGATTCTAAAAAATAATGATTTCAAGGCTTTTGGCATTGGTTAAACCTTTTTTTAATTTCTATACCGGCTAAAAATGTCTTGAAAGTTAGGCCATATTAGTCAAAGGACGTCTAATTATTTGCGGGCTTTTGAAGTTCATTGACCTATTGCTTGTTTTTGGTTCATTTTGCAATGATTCATTGAAAATATTGGCAAGGCCATTTCATTTTGGTTTGAAACGTTTCATTGAAATCATTTGCCAGGTCATTTGTGTTCAAAATTTACGCGAATTAAGTAGCGCGAATTTGTCTGGCTTTAAATGGCAAAAATTTTTCTCGTTTAATTTTTTGATGATTACCGAAATCCCCTTTGAAGTAAGTTTTCTTTTCATTTTGGATTAAAACGGTGTTAACTCATAGAAATTGTTTTAAAATGTAGTGATGTTATATTGCTAAGGCAACAAAAAGTAGGGAGTGAAATTGTAGGGTGTTAAGTTGTTTAGAGTTATAAAGGGGGGAACCTTTTATTCAGGCCAACTTCAATTTTCAAATTAAGCATTTTGAAAAAATTTATATTTTGTTTCATCGAAAAAAAATTGATGCTTTTTGAGCCCAAATTAAAAAAAGAACCCATTTCATCTGTGATATTCTAATGAAATAGTAGAAGTTTGAAGTTGGGACTACTTTTGACATACTAGGATAGCAAAAGTGCGTGAAACTTCCACATTTTCTAGCGCGTAGCAAATACCACGATTCCCATTAATCTACCACAGAAACACTGCAAATTGGGTTGGGGCGTTGGGTTGAAGCTTTGGCATGTTCAGACCTTGGGCGCCAAAAATAAATCATTAGCACACATAGGAGACTTGACATGCTCAGACGATTGTAAACTTCAACTTACAGTTTTGAAAGAGCTTGAATAACTTCTGTTAGTAATGAAAGCAAAATTCCTTTTTTCGCAATCAAAAGGAGCCACTCATCGCTTCTTAAAGTCAAATATTTAGACATGGCGTCACAAGTTATCTCTGTAAATAGCTCAACAGCTCCTTTTTATCGCTATCTTAATTATTTGGTTGAGTATTGTTTAATTTTTGTGAATATTTTTAATTTTCTTGATTTTAGGTTGAAGTCTTTTTCAGAAAAAAGCATAAATTTGTCAATTCTAAGCTAGTAATAGATTTCGATCAGAAATGGTTTGTAATTTCTTTCTGAACGGTGCGAAGTTGGTGGATCTCTCTTTTCGATATCAGTTTTTGTTCAACAACATGTTCAGCCATTGTTTGAAAATGTTTTTAATTTTTCCTTTGTTTTTAGGGTAACTTGTCCATTTGTTTGTCTCTTTTTCCTATATAATTTTACTCCCAGCTATTTTCTTCAAATAATGAAGAAAATGACAAGACATTTCAGGCCTTTTTGGTTTTTTCAGGTTATTTTTGACTCCAAGTTTAACATTTTTGAGAAAAAAGAAACTTTTTCAATCATCGAAATTTTATTGAGCACAATTTCGAAAAAAGTTTTTTATTGAAATAAAAAATTTTTGAATATGCGATTACTTTGAACAAATTGAGTTAAAAAAACGCGTGAATTTTCTAATTTTTCCAGCGCAAAGCAAAAAACACCAATCCGATTAACCTACCTCAATAGTACTTCAAACTGAAGTAAGGCACGTAATTTAATCCATACAGTGTAAAAATAGATGCAAAGGTAATTGAACTATCTTTTTATTGGGGCGCAGGAGGAGATGTTCAACAAAAGAAGTATGATTGTTTTTTTTAAACTATCTTTAGTTCAAAATTCACTTTGCTAGCATCAAAAATCAAATCACAGTCGGAATTTTCAAAGCCTTGTTTCGATAGGTAGATCTTGTAAACCTTGAAAAATATTGATGTACTGTTTTTATTATTGAGCCTAACGTCAACTGAAATAGGGAAGCGCCAAAAATGAAACTTTTGAAAGCTATATTTCTTCAAGTTTTTCAGCAGCTATGTTTTTCAAGCGAACAAAAAAAATTTTCTCCTCAGCTTAAGCAAATTCAAACCGTAAATAACTATTTTTCATTAACAATAAGTGTAAACATCACAATTTATTGGCAAGAATGTAATACCTATAGAAAAAATTCAATCCAAAACTATAGCAATTTTGACAAAAAAAAGTTTGACTATTTACGGCAGCATAATTATAAACTTTCAAAAACCCTTTCGAGCCGTCGCGCCGAATTTTTTTAAAAGTTCGGAGCGTGGCATCAAATATGTTCTTTTGAACTACAAAAAAATTTGATATCTCAAACTGGCTTCAACTACCACGTACTTTTTGAATGTTTTTGAACAATGTATTAAGTAATAAGTGCAAAGTTCAATTTTTTGCAATTCAACGCAAGAG